GAAATGTTTAAACAAAACAACCACGATGTCCTTCGTTTACCCCCATATCATCCCGATTTAAACCCCATCGAGATGGTGTGGGCTGCCATTAAAGGGCACGTAGCCGCTAAAAACGTCGACTGGAACGTAACCCGGACAATGGAGCTCATACAAGAAAAAGTAAATTTAATGGGTCAGAATGAATGGAGTGCTTTATGCAGAAAAGTGCAAGAGGTCGAACATGACTATAGGAAGAGCGACCATATTATTGACGAAATGACGGATCAATTATTCATCATTAATACAGCTTCAGATTCAGAAAGTGAGTCTGAAAGTGAGAGCGACGATTACGAAGATGAACCTATGCCAAGTACCTCACATGGTACACAAGGGGCCGACGACTTTATGTTAGGAATTTCCCCCCTCAGCGACAGTGATTAAATAATAATAAGTGTAAATAAATAAAAAGTATTAAATGTAAATAATATTGTATGTGTTTGTGATAAAATCTGCCCCTATCGAAAGGTGAGGTATCAAAATTGAATCTTTAATTTATAATGTCTCCAAAGTGTTTTGATATTTTTGGTCACTGTATTAGGGAAATTTTATTTGTACATTGGTATATATAAAAAAATGACAATAACAGTTTTCTTCACGAGTGTTCATGCGCTAAACTTCGCAGAGCCTATATTCAGACTCGCCAAGATACGTCGGCCGTATAATAAACGTGTGACGCAAATATGATCAATAGCACGCTATACATCGCGCGCGACCTAATTTAGTGTTAAACGTTGTTTAGTTCGTGTACACAGTGGCGGCCCTAGGGCATTATGAGCGGTACGATTGCACCGGGCGCCGCCTTCGTGGGGGCGCCAAAATCCCTATTTCCCAATTCTTAGATCCCCAATTCACTCACTTTTATCCCTAACATTCCGTTTCGTTGACGCTAATTAGGAAGTCAAAGCATGAGTATTTTGTTGCTTACAAGCCAGTAAGTGACTCTTCGGAAAAGGTCTTGCTAGCCTCTTTCTTGATGCAATTGTACATGTGTTTCACTTAGACATTAATGTTTGTCGAGGCTAAGGGTACTACAATAATGGTGCGAACATGGCAGGAAAATTAAGGGTGTTCAAACCAAAATTTGACTCAATATTCTCTGGAATTTTTCAATCCATATGTGTGATGGGTCAAAAATGGACATCGACGTAGGCTTTGGAATTTATGGGAAATGCGCCAAATTCAAACTTAGTGTGAATTAGAGTAGATTCAACTCTACCTTCCAGGACGAAATTGTCGTCATACTTCAATGAGCGAAAATCAATCTCCAAAAACACTATTTCAATCAAATAATCTATATAAACTCTAAAAGTCAAGCAGCACTGCTAGCGCTGATATCAAACTTAGTGAAATCGAAGCTAGTTGGAGACTGCTTGAACCGTCTAAACGCCTTGAAATGTAACAACAGGGTCATTTTAAGATGGGTATTGTACTTCGCGGGTATTGTAGGCAATGAATTTACCGATGAGCTCACACGGGATCACAATATATATTTTAGGTTGCAGTGCTATTGATCTTTCTAGACCTGCATAGCTGCTCGCACAAACAAACACGCTATGCAGTCTGAATCTATGGCTTCACCAAAGGTGCCGTATTGTTGGAATATTTTTTCAGTATTTTGAAACAGTACCGACCCTTTTTATTTGCTCTAATAACAGATAAATCTAATTTTTAAGCCAGCCCGATCCCGAAGAAAGTAAATATTATTTGTCTACGAAGCCGTAGGTGAGACACCAACTGATCCTAAAGAATTGTTTAAAATTAACGTTTTTTTACCATATGATTGATACAATTAAAAGTGCGTTGATTACTTGACTTAAACTATCAAGATTTTATGATACGTGTTCATTTTTACACAAAATGAAATAGTTCCTAAAAAGTAAAAAAGCCTGTGTTGATTTGAAAATCAGTTGAACAGATGGGCGTAATGTGATTTGTCTAGTTGTAAAGTGGTTCAGGATCTTATGACCTTGAACCCATTATTTAAAGATCTTCAATGAGCAGAGCCACATAAGGTTCTCAAACTTATTAAAAATAATGATTGGCACGATATTTTTCCCAAATGTGTACACAGCACTTCGTATCTTGCTGACTATACCTGTATTATAATTGTCGTTAAATGGTAACGAAGTTTTAGTACATTAAAACATTTAAAAAATTACCTACGTTTCTATTATGTGCCAGGAAAGATTGTCATATTTTGGAATCTTTACTATAGAAAATTCTATCACTCATAAGTTAAAATATTCCGAATAAATAAAAAAATTGCAAGCTCATAAGCCAGAAAGCTGGTCATTGGGGCTTTTCATTAAGTATGTTGTTGGTAGTTCTTTTATCTTTTTTTAACACTGTCTGCAAAACAACAGTTTAATAAAAGGTGTCAAACAAGATTATTAACTCTTATTATGAGAAATAATCTGTACAACTAATCACTGCAGCAAGGCAAGCCTAGTGGCGTTGTCGAGCGCAACGGAGTAGTGCAAACGGAATGGACAACATTTCTTTAACGCGAATAAGCAGAACAACTGCTATGGCAAGAGCGACAGACACAACTGTGCTTGCCCGGCATATGCATCTGTAGATATTTGATAGGTCTAATACTATTTAAAATCACAAAAAGCAACTGCATAGAATAGGAACACTAAGGTTTTGTATTAGGAGGGGGCGCCACTATGAGATCTCGCACCACCTAAAAATTTTGCTAAGGCCACCACTGCGTGTACACTATATGTTTATAAGTGATCGAATAACACAGTTTTATGCTACAAAAGTAGCCTAATGTTTTTAAATGTAAATAAAATATATGTAGATACAAATGTTTATATAATAGTGTATGTAAATAGTTGACAAGTTACAATCAATAAACTTTTAAATACGCCTAATTTACATTAAGGTTAAAATAACGTTAGCATCGATTATAGAAAGTCGTAAGCCTGAAAAATTAAAAGTGTTAATTGGGTTTTATGTACCGCTTTATTTTAATTTAGTCAGGAATGCGACTTATTACGAAATAATTTTCTTATATAGAACGCAGTGTATCCAACGAACATGTAATGTAACGTGCTACGAGATATAGCTTGCTGCAAAACCTAAAGCGCATACCGGCCTCCTACACGATTTCTTACAAATAGCGCGCTATAACATAGTGTATATATTTTATATATTTTATAGTCTGTAGCATGCTATTGATTTATAGTCGTTTTGGAGTTTTGGCGGGAACTTGGCCGACGACGGACTGTCGCTCCTGTTTTGTCGCTTGAATAATAGTTTGAAGTGGATTTTAATTCGTAAAAGTGATTTTATTTTGTGAATTAAGTGTTTGCGCGTGTTAACTATTAGAGAAAACGACGAAACAAGTGCTTTGATGTTGATATATACAAGTTAATTTGATCGCTTGGGCGCCTTATGAATTTAAGTGACTGTCGTCATCAACAGTCCGCTGGGTTGAGCTGTCGTCAAAATCTCCCAAAAACTTCGCAATGTGACTCATCAGCATATTGTGAAGAAAAAATATATAAAATGAAGATTCTGAAAGAAATAATAGGCTCAGAAGGGCTAGTACCCAGAGCCGTAAAGCCAGTTAAATAAAAAAATTATAGTCGTTTTGAACAACTTTAGTGCTGTCCATGAAGGTTAGAGAACAGGAGAACGATCGCCGTAGAAAATAGTGTCCCAAAAATATGGACATCATAAGTTAAGCGCTGCGATCGCTGAGTTCGGTCAATAAAAATCATTTTCAGTCTATTTTTCCAATCATATGCTAAACCACTTGCACATTCACGCACAATAAAGTATTTCTCCATTTTTTAATGTTTCTTTTTGTCAAAAATTACAAAATTACGGAGCATGAAAATTTTCTCACCAATGCCGCGGAGAAAATTTGTACATTATTCTACTAACTTCATCTACTTGTACTCATAAACAGCTAACTTCGCAGTCACTACTCACCGACGTCAGTGCCGCTATAAATTCTACAATTTTCAAGGACAGGCGGGCTATGCTTTAGTACGTATAGTTCATAAAAGACGACCTAGTGCATGCCCATAAATTATGACATTGACGGGTACTGTCTGTACTACTAAGAAATTCTGGGCTTCATAGGCGTGATTTTACTGACAGCTGTCGCAGAGATCAAGCTATCTTTTATGAATTATAGTGATCGTTCTCCTGTTCTCTAACCTTCATGGTGCTGTCTTTCAATTATACCAAAAGTGCTCTGTGGTGCCTGTCTTCTGATCAAAGACTACAAGGCTCAGAAGGGCTAGAACCCAGAGCCGTAAAGCCAGTAAAAAATCTATTACAATGGGTGCGTTTGGCAGAAAAAAGCGCTAGCAAGCGCTTACAAGCGCTGAAATAGTTTTCGGCCAGGACACGATTGCTAATTCAGTAGCGCTGACACAATCCGCCATTTTGCTTATTTAATTTGTTTGTTTTGAAGTAGAGTTTATAAGTTGTTTTGAGCAATATTAGTTTTAAGTAATATAATGACATGAATAGACATAATAGATGTTATTAAAAATTCATGATTGGTAAGTTTTTAATATGAATACTTTACAAACATATATTTAAATTAGGTTAGGTTCCCCGGTTAAAACTGACTTCGTGTCCTAGAGGAAAATAGCTACTTACGATTTGACAGCGCTTACCGCTTACGATCGCCATTTTGCTTACAAGCGCTTGCTAGCGCTTTTTTCTGCCAAACGCACCCATTGTTACAATTATACAGTAATCTATGGTTACAATATTTTACACAGGCTAATATGATACTTACGTATATATCTCTAGTATATATACAGTAATCTATGCGTATATATTTTATAAATAGCTTCTGATCTCTTCTATCAATAATGTAAAAAAATCTAACAAAAAAAGTGTTTTTCACATATTATGCAAGTAATACATACCTTTTAAGAAATTGAATAAAACGCATAATAATATAAGAAATTATAAGAACAGTTAATAAAATGAACAGAAGCCTTATTTTAGTCAGGTACTTTGTTTTTAATTTTCAGGAAATTACTATACTTATTGTTGTAAACAGTTATTTCCACAAATATTTATAATGATGAAATTTATCGCCAAGCACGTATGTAATTGACGTATGAAATTCAATATACAATTAATTAGTACCAACAGGGACAGTCTTAATAAGTTGCGCATTATATAAAATTATATGGCAAGTACTTATTTTGATAGAATGAGGGTGACAAACGAGCATACAGTTCACCTGATGGTAAGTGGATGCTGTGGCCTATAGACGTCTACATTTATTCTCGATTAAGAATCAAAATGTAGATATGTTGTCACCCCTGAGGACTATGATGAAATGCCTCGTTTCCAGTAACAAAGGGTCTGCGGATCTCTACATTCATCATACGAAACACAGCAATATTAAGCTACTATTTTACGTTGGTATTCTGTGAGAGTGTCGGTACCATTGAAAGCTTCCATAATCTTTAAAATGTTAATCCAACAGTACTTGAAGTCCTCACCAAGATTGTAAAGAGCCAGCAAGACGTCAACATTATTTTCCCAACTAACCGCATCATCCTATGATACTATTATTTTAACTGTACATTATGGTGAGAAGTGTCATTATGTATAGCATGACAACCTACTAGCTTTAACCTAAGCCGGTACATATCTCTTGGCAAGAAATCCTTTGCAATAAAATATATAAATGGAATTAATATATTTACGTGTCAATTTTATTGAATGCTACGGTATGAAAGCACCAATTAGCCTATGCTATAAACAGAGCACTAATTCAGGACCCTAGTTAGAGCAGCAGTAAGAGCAGGTTTACACTACACTAAACCTGGACCCATGGTCAGTTGGAGATGTAACATAGGCACATAAGTTCTTTCAGAATAGCTGTCATCTTATATTATGAATGCAGAAGCATGTTGGTTTGGATGTTTATCCCTCAATCTCTTTGGAATGGCTGAATTGATTTAAATTAAAGTTGTATGTTAATTATTTTGTGAAATAGGATACTTCTGTAACCATGATTGATAAATTTTAATTTATGGCCAGTTTTTGGAATTGAGCTGGTCTTATTTTCACAACCCCACATCTAAGGCCTTATTTATTTTTATGGTTTGCTGAAATTTGGTAACATTTGAATTAACCCAGCCCTTTAAGGAATCTTGAAGCTTTATTTGTCAACTAGCCTATAGTAGGCTACAACTGGACAGGTCTAATAGAGTGAGGACTACCATTTCCGTATGCTCCAAGCAAGCTCAGCACAGAGGACTGTCCATAACACTAATAGCCAACAAATGTTTATTAAATAAACTATGGCCTGTTATGTGATGAAATAATGGGTACACTGTATTTAATTCAAATTAAAATGGCATATTTAAATCATTGTGATTGATTATAGTTATGCCATTGTATGTTCTAAGAATTTTGTATTTCCGAATTAAATTTTAAGGAAAATGTGGTGCTTTATTTTTAATTGCACAATAATTAGTTTCTATGATTCATACATAAATGTCATTAACACATGGTGTATATTTTTCATTATTCATCATATTTACTTTACATGCAAATTATAATAATAATGTTCTGTATTCCAGGACCTGTTTTAGACGAAATAACTTGAGAAGGTTTTCAAGTCATAATATTGAAAGTAATGAAAATGAGCCAATAAAATTCTCCACAAGTGGGGCAGCTACAAGGAAGACTATACAACCTGTTAGAAATGTTAAAAATAATAATATGCCATGGTATCAACCATACTGTGTTGTAGGCAGTATTGCAATATTCCTTATTTATTTCTGTGTATTAAGAGAAGAAAATGATGTTGATAGTGAATTCACTAAGACACTCTATGATAGAATCAAAGGTTTAGAAAAGCAACAACTACTTTTATCCTATAAATTTAACAAGGAAAATGGTAAAAGTGTGGAAGACATAGAAAAGAGACTCAAAGAAATAGAAGAAGAAGAATCAAAAGCACAACTACAATAAGTGCACATGTTAATTTGTAGGTGTTACGATATTAAATTATTATCAACCTATATTGCTGGTTTTTTTTGGTGGTAAAAAAAAATATTAAGAAGACATGTGAAGTTCACCAACACGCATTGGGGCAGCGCGGTGGACAATTCCTTGCCCTAAAAACCCTCTGAGAAATGAGGGGAGGCCTGTGCCCAGCAGTGGGATGTATATAGGCTGTAACTTTACTTTACTATATCTGGTTTTATTTACTAATATCTGTTTCATTGTTATTAGCAGGGTACTTAAACATGGCATGTTATTTTGAAATACACTGACTAATTTGTAAAAACAATGACTGCAAAATGAATAACAATGAAAAAGTTCACTTGCGAAAATATGTACGTATAAACAATTACTAGTTATCTCAGTTAAATAATAATGTACATGTATGTGATCTTAGTGATCACTAGTAGTTAAATATACCCACATATTTCTGCAAGTGAACTTTTTCATTGTTTCTCATTCATTTCAAGTTTTCTTGGTTTAGCTACCAAATTATTAAATTTACGTTTAACACTTAATTTTATGATTCAATAAATATGGTACCGAACCAGTTAATGAAAACCGAAAAAATTAATACATTATGCTAAAAATAGTTTAACCCCATTTCAGACTGCTATAGTATTATAAAGAACATAAAATATTATGAAGCACAATAAAACAGCATTCATTTTGTGAATACTTCACACTATGTATACTATATCGATTGATGTTTTCTTATGAAGCATTACTATTCTTTATCGCAGAACAGTAAAGCAGTTTGACTGAGCTTTAGCTAAAAGTAAGTTTTATATCAATCAACTAAGTTGTGCGGTGGCAATGAATGAATATTCACTACCACATATTGTTCCTAGGGTGCTGAAAGAGGGTGATAGAAACAACCTATACTAGCAGCAGTATTAAAAAAAAGTAGGAAATAAAAAACAAGTTGCCAACCTCCCTGCTAAGCATGACCATTTGTTTTTCATTATAGAATGTGTGACTAACAGGCACCACACCATTTGTTGGTATGTGGATGCTGTAGTTCATCTACTCTATTTAGAATCAAAATGCAGATGCATTTTTACCCCCCGAGGATTAAGATGGAATGACGTTACCAATAAAAAGGATCTGAATCTCTTGACACCAAACAAAACATTTACTAAACTGCTATTTTTAACACAAATTCTGTGTGAGCATGTTCCCTACCCTAGTTAAGCCGACCCATATGCTAACCTATGATGAATATCCCCTTAAGGCAATATTTGGGGACACAACCATGTTCTGCAGACTTTGATAGGCTGTAATGAATATGATGATGGTCTGAATGATCACACATTTATAGGAAGATTAATAAAACCAACTGATTCTACTCGTTTATTAACACCAAATTCTCAATACACATTTACATTAGTGCATAAAATTACTCAAAGTACAGAATCTTCTCAGACATGGTCGACGACATTGCCCATTACACTACTTAGATAAACCATGAGTCACTAAAATACAAGACTACATCAATGCAGCGAATGCTGTTATTAGTCTGTAGTAATAAGCTACAAAGCATTTTTTGCACCTAACAGCATCCCTTGCAAAGATGAGAAACTTATAGAATAAGAACATATTTATAAAAAATTCAGTTCTGCTGCCTCCTTACAATAATGTTTACGATGTTACTTAAATGAATTAAATGTGAGACATTATAAAAAAATGTTATAGAATTTATGTCTATTTGAATTACAAATAATTTATAAGGTACACTAAAGCTAAACTTAAGCGCGTTCTCCACGGATTCGTCGTGCAAGTTGGATGTCTTTAGGCATGATTGTGACGCGTTTTGCGTGAATAGCGCACAGGTTAGTGTCTTCAAAGAGACCTACGAGGTAAGCCTCACTGGCTTCCTGAAATAAAGACACGGTAATATTAAACAATTAGTTTTCACAATTATGATATCATACAAAATAAGACTAATTTAAGATTCTCACCTGCAAAGCGCCAATGGCAGCAGACTGGAAACGAAGATCAGTTTTGAAATCTTGAGCAATTTCTCTCACAAGTCGCTGAAACGGCAGTTTGCGGATCAGCAACTCGGTAGATTTCTGATAACGACGAATTTCTCGGAGAGCAACAGTACCCGGGCGATAACGATGGGGCTTCTTCACTCCACCAGTGCTGGGTGCTGATTTTCGCGCGGCTTTAGTGGCCAACTGTTTACGAGGGGCTTTACCTCCTGTGGATTTGCGAGCAGTTTGCTTGGTACGTGCCATCTTTTACTGAAAAACAAACAGAACGCATTCAAGTCTACACAATAACAATTTAGTGCTACAATTGAAATGGTTTAGGAAGAGCGTAATTCACCGAAATTATGAGTTATAAAAGAAAGTTTTATTAATACAGATATAGTATACGGAATATTACACTTTTTTACACACCTTTTAATATAATTAAGAAAGTGATACTAAATTTAATACAGATTTTTCTCGAGGTTCACAACAACGATCATATGCTCAAAATGGCGTCGGGAGAATGGCGGGCAAGCACTGACGCCAATAATCTAGACGGTGATTGGACAAACTCTGATAGAGACCGTGAACATGATTGGTTCAAAAAGTACGTTTCCCAATTGGTGAGTATAGTAACGGCTTTCATAATTTGCTTGGCTATTGGTTTACTCCACATTTCAGTGTTGATAGGGGAAAAAATTAAACATTTGCAATATTTATTTTTTTAGAACATAAAAATATTTATTTTATAAAATGTATATATATATATATATATTAATAATTTGTTATTAATAATGGTAACTACACCTAGGTACTTTTTTATTAATTTTTATTAAAACCTCAAAACAATTATTGTTATATTGCAAATCCTTAATTTGATGTTTAAATGTATTATTAGAAAAAATAACCAGTGGTTACCTAGGTTTAAGATATATATTTTTTATATTGAAATGTGCGTTGACGCTTTTAAAATATGAAGACCGCAAAACATTAATACTTTTTCACGTTTCTCTTTCTTTGTTGTGAAGCCAAATCCAAAAGTATTTCTTTTGTATTTATCTCTTTTATTACGTATGTATGTAATTACTCTAAGCTCTTTTAGGTAGGTACAAAAAAAAACAAAACAAATCGACCTATTTTTCACCTCTGTCTGTCACGAAGGATTGGTAATATAATAAAGAGAGATAGATGGAAAACATGAGACGTGACATATCTGTCAATGTTGATTGCGTTTGTATTTATAGTTTTTTTGTCTTCTGCCACTTCTGCTTTGTGGCTTGTTTGAGATAACAAAATACTTTTAAAGTTCAAGGTCGCTTAAATTAAAATGTTTGATTCATCAGAAGAGAATCTTCTGCAAATAATATTTTATTTACATTTAGAAGCTTTCTAAAATATAAAGTATCACGTGACCATATATTGAATTTTAATTGGTCATCGGTGAGCGTGCCCTGCGCGACGCGAGAGGCGCAATACATAATAGTTCTCCAAAATGCCGTCGGAATCTAAGCCTTTGTTGACAGCTCAAACAGAAAAACCAAATCATTATAAGTAAATAGTTATTTCTGTTGTTGTTTTCGTTTAAAAATGATTGCGCAAGGTATCTAGTTTTGGGTAATATATCTTTTACTGAGTTCAGTGATGTCGTGTTGCAGATATTTGAAGGAATTTCGAGTGGAGCAATGTCCATCATTCTTACAACATAAATGTACACAACATAGACCTTTTACATGTTTTCACTGGCATTTTAATAATCAGAGAAGAAGAAGGCCAGTCAGAAAAAGAGATGGATCATTTAATTATAGCGCTGATAATTATTGTGCCAAATATAACGAGACATCGGGTATTTGCGAAGACGGAGATGAGTGAGTACTGTACTGTAGCTACTTGTCTTTGCTTTGTTATGTTTGTACCTACAGCACTTCTTTTATATTTAATTTAGTGTTGTCAATAAAGATACCTGCGTTAAAAACCTCACCTGGTTAAAAGTTGCAGGATTCCAAAGTTATTTTATCCAAATTTAAATAACAATGTTTTGGTTTTTATCCTCCCAAATTCACCACATCATAAAATACCTTCTTATTGTTTGTGTAATTGATGTTGAGCTATCTGACAGTATTGTTAAATATTTCATGTAATTCTGTTTGTAAACTTCAAAATGTCTAAGTATGGATTTTAATTTTACATCCAAATAATGATTGACTTCTTTAATTTCAAATATATTTCTACAATTCATTAACAATTCAATTGAATTGTTTTTAAATACCATTTATTTATTTTTCTTCTAAATATTTAATTTCTTATTGCTTTTGAAAAAATCAAGTTTTTTATCAAAAAATACCTTTTTTTTTAATTGGAATTGGAGAATTATCCAAACATTTTCTTTTTTCTACAAAATTGGTCTTATTTAAGCATTAAGTAATTCCTGCTGCAGCTGGCAGTGAAGGTCTGTGTCTAAATGTCATCTCTGGAAATACACTCTGAGCATGTGATGAGATGTGTCTTAATTTATTGATTGTTGCTCTGCTAAGGTTTATCAGCTAATTGGCCTCTTAGTCCAAAATTGGACTCTACTTTTCAATTCAAATTCTTCCTAGTCTGAAAATTGTGTTCAAAAAGTGTTTCTGGGAGACACCAAGAAAATCCTCAAAGCCGAAAATTCTCAAAGCCCTCTGCAGAGGCGACCAAACAGCCGGGGGTTAGAGGGAAAGAGTAGAAACTGGCAGACCATGCGGGCAGTATCAAGGAGCACCACTTTCTGCATTTGAACTTTGATTGGTTCGTCACAAAGTTCCAGTCGCCTCAGATGACCAGAGAAGCTAACCAGGATTAGCCTGTTTACTGAGACGACTATAGGAATAATTTTGTTCAGTAGACCACCCACATGTCGGTCACATTGTGAGTCAAGTTCAGATATTTTGTTTGCTTATCTGTTTTGGCTTCAACTCATCATATGGAATGGTAATGTCCACCAAAAATATCCTTGACTGTGTCCGGTCCATCAGCATAATATCAGCTTTATTTTGCTATAATAGTCCTGTCTGTGATGATGGCCCGGTCCCAGTATATCCTGGTGTGATCATTTTCGATCACAGCTTCCGGCAAGTACTTATAGTAAGGCTGTTTCCAATTCACAAGACCATATTTCAGAGCGAGCTCCTGGTGTAAAATTCTAGCTGCTAGGTTGTGCCTGTGCAAGTACTCAGAGTTAGAAGGCGCTGAACAACTAGAGATGATATACCTAAGTGACTCACCGGGATGGCAACTAGTTCGACAGATGTCTATGGTGCTATCTTTTAGGATTTATCTCCCATAGTTGTTGGTCTAAATAGCCTGATCCTGTATTGCACAGAAAACACAGCAGCAATCTGAATCACATAGAGTATTGAAGTCTGATAAACAAGCCAAATTCAGAAGATGAAGCTAAAACACCGGATAAAAATGTAGCACAGGTAAGAGCAGAGGGGCAGACGTAAATGACTAAGGAAGGAACTTACAATAATCATACCCCTTACTCAAAAAACAACAAGTCCTAAGAAAACAATGGCCATAAAAACACCAAACCATCTAATCAGCTAACTACAGCAGTGCAAGAGCGAGACAAAATGTCTTTATTTAGCTATGATCTTCTTGCTTTGTTATTGTTATGTTATTTGATAAGAAGCGCAGGCAACTGCTCTTTTAAGTTTTTCCATAACTAATGTTTTTAAAATAGTTTTAAGCTTTATAAAATCAGGGATTTTTGGTACTTGGACTATTCAAGTACATTTTTCAACATGATGCCCTAGTATTAGCCAAATTAAATTTTCAAGGTTATTTCTTCATGAAAGTCAGTAGTTTTAAGTATTATAGAAAAAAAATGTGAAATATTTGTTTTAGAACCATAGAAAGTTAATTTAAACATTTAAAAAAAATATATTATAATTTTTTTGTTTGGAATTTGTCTGGTTTAAAGGTACAAAAGACAGTCTGTTTATCTGGTTTGAGAAAAAATCATGGTTGCATACCTAATAGTTTTTGGCTAGCCATTTGTTATCTGGTATCTGGCAGGATAGGCTAAATATTTGATAGTTACCGGATATCTGTTTCATCTTTTATGATAAAGTTATTTGACAACAGATTTGAAATAAATAACTATTATTAAAAAAAAAAACAAAAGAAACTAAACAAGATTGACTCATACTTGACATTAGATATTATCTCCTCTTTTAAAATGCTCCAATTAAAACATTTTCCACAGCAAATGAAATCCACAACATCTTTGCTGTCTAAGTTATTATTTATAATTATAGGAAAATATAATCTATGATCTGTTCTACAGATGTCCCTATCTTCATAGAACAGCTGGCGACACAGAACGTCGTTACCACCTTCGGTATTACAAGACTTGTATGTGCGTGCATGATACAGACGCTCGCGGGCTTTGCACTAAAAACGGCGCCCACTGTGCATTTGCCCATGGAGCACCGGACCTCCGTCCTCCAGTGCTCGATGTTAGGGAACTTCAAGCTTTAGAAAACCCAGATGGAGCAGATGGTGATGCTGCTGCCCCTAATGCACTTGATAGAGAACGAAATCTTATGAATGAAGATCCCAAGTGGCAAGGTTTGTTTTTCAAAAATTTTTAAAAATGAATTGTGAAATGTTTGAGTTTTTATTTATTAAAAATTTGCACAGTTGACTATATATATATATAAAAGTTACAGCCTATATACGTCCCACTGCTGGGCTCAGGCCTCCCCTCATTTCTGAGAGGGTTTAGGGCAAGGAAGTGTCCGCTGCGCTGCCCAAATGCGTGTTGACGAACTTCACATGTCTTCGAAATATTTTTTTTTTCTTATTCCTCAGACATGCAGGTTTCCTCACGATGTTTTCCTTCACCGCCGAGCACGTGGTAAATCAGCACTTAAAATTGCAATTAACAATTTCATTGGTGCCGGCGGGGATCGAACCCGGGTTACTCGTGTTCTGTTATATTTACAGCGAGCGTTTACCACTGAGCTACCACGGCTCATATATATATATATATATATATATGAGCCGTATATATATATATATATATATAGGGATAGGATAACTAATAATTATAAAACTGTTGCCTCGCACTATATCCCACAACTTTAGAAAAATGTTAACAAAATCTGGAGTTAGTGATATTACATAAGAAACACCAGCTAAAATATAATTAAAAAAATAATTAAAGTTTTAAAATCGGACTAGTTCATTTTAGAACACATTTCATTATTATTTAGTAATAAAAATAATAGTTAATAGAAATAGAACTGAATCTTACATGTTTGAACCTCAGTATCTTTAAGCTCACATAAATATTTTCTCAAAAAATTTTTCTGTTTTTGTTAATTTTAGAATAACTGAACCGATTGTGATCTAGGTTATATTTTATAAATTTTTGTGCAATTGATAAACTGATAAAAATAGTTTTGAGGATTATTTCCTTAACTAGTAAGCCTGGCGTCGACTACAGTACTAACGCGTCGAATCGGAGCGAGTCGCATTTATTCCTAGTGCATCCATCTCTGAAGAATTGAATCGAATCACTCATTCATCGCAAGCTCTCCATCAAAATAGGTCGTTTTTGCGTCATGGACAGCTCGGATGGAGAGATGGGAGATTTATTATTTGAAATAAATCTCCCATCTCTTCGTCTGAGCTGTCTTTTTAATAAAGCAAAGGAGAATAGAAAAAGGAAACGGCGCGCATCTACTTCTCTGCCTCGAGCGTCGACGACTGAGGAGCGCCTAATCGAATCTCATCGGCGAAGAAATTTATCTGTCAAGCAATTCGCGCGGTCGATTCAATTCGGCGCGCCGCGGCTCTTTGCTAATGGACGCAGTTTCATATTAAATATTATATAGGAGGCGACATTCTGCAATTCGATTCGACATAAGGACGAAAGTCATATTAATCATCTTGAAAGTACCGCACAAAGAGAAGACCAAGTTAATAAGACCGCCCATTGCATACTTCTTTTGTGTATATAATGTGTGATTTTTGTATAGTGTGCAATAAAGAAAATTAAATAAATAAAAAATAGGTAAAACTGTATACTGTATTATATGTCATGCTCTTGCAGTTTAAGTCTTGTCGATGTATATGTTTGTCTTTTTTTGGGGTTAATTTGTTGTTTCATAGTTTCAAATCACATAAATTCTATAGAAGTGTTTATTTCAGTAATAAATCATTTTTCGTTTATAATTTTACGCAAAAAAGGTCCTTACACTTTTTTAATGTCATATTCTGATCTGAATTCAAGTTATAACACTACTTTTTTACTTAAACTCCATTTTGTAACAAAACTACGAGTGTCGAAGGATATGGTAATAATATATTTTTTACATTAAATTAACATCTCGAATTTTTGAATTAAAAATTAACTCTTGTGGCACATAAGTTTTACAAACATCACTATTATAGATCTGATCTAAATTCTACACAGACGAAATAGTGTGTATATGCTAGTTTTAAATGAAATGTGTTTAGTGAGTACTGACATTTTTGGTAAGAATATCTACTATTGTATACCCTGTCAATCCAGGTGATCCAAGTGAAACAAATCCATCTTATTCTTTTTTTTTTATAGAAACGCATTTATCTTCTATTAAGAAATGAAATGGAAATGCATTGTCATCTCTGAAGACTAACTAGAGATGGGATACCTCATTTGCAGTAAAAACAGTCTCCGATTCTATACACTCACCATACGAAACACAGTAGTATTATGCTGCTATTTTTTTTTGCTGTTATTCTGTGAGAGTGTGGTACTACCCCGGTTGAGCCGACCCATTAATGCTACAACCATAATGTAACTGCAGCGTGGCTCCTGCTCCCCTGTTCGTGACGACCCATCTGTAGCGTTCTTTGCTTGAAGGTGCCCATGAGCTGCAGTAGCCACTTACCATCAGGTCAGGTAGAATGTAAATTTGTTTGTCACTTCAGTTTTATTAAATCTATATTATATATATATATATATATATATACATCCCGTAACTTATTGTGCGTCCACTATGGCCAATTTTGCATATAATGTGGCGTCAACCTGCTTACGACGTCCAATATACGGACGTCAAATAGGAGACTTAGCGCAATGTTCGCAAATTGTCATGCTGATCACAGAAATGTCAAAATCTAAAAAAAATTGGACGTCATTTTTCTTCCAATCTTGCTGTACTGAATATTTACGTAGTTCCGCTAATTTTCGTTGCAAAAATAATAGCGCTGCTGTCGATTTGTGAACTACTTTCATTTATGGCCGTATTTGACTTCCGCACAAAATTAGGAGATGCGACGTTGCCGTTCCGTCACCGTTGCCAACGTGTTACTTGTATTTGGTGATATATGGTTATGACTGCCTCGTTGGTCTAGTGGTTGTAGTAGTGCTACTGCTGATCGTGAGGTCCTGGGTTTGAATCCCGGGTCGGGCCAAGAATTCAATTATTGAGTTTTTCTGTCAAGAAATTCTCAATAGCTGCCCGGAGTCAGGAAGTTGACGGTGTATCACCCCCTTGCCTCGGAAAGCACGTAAAGCCGTTGGCCCTACGCCTGATCTCTCTCCGGTCGTGTCGGTTTACCGTCCCATCGGATTATGAGAATGAGGGAATAGAGAGTGCACCTGTGGTTACGCATACACTTGGGCACTATAATCCTGTCCTGCGCCGATGGCTAGTCTTCGTTGAGGCAGGCTGCCGTGACAGTAATTCGGTCTGCAGGACATTATTATATGGTTTATACTGCGCTTGGTACTAGTAATTTTACTTTTAAACACGTTTTCTTAACCTTATATTTACCTACACATAATATGGACGTCCTAATATCCTAAAACTTTCATACTGAATGATATTTGACATCCGTATTTTTGAATTTAGTTATATTTTTATAAATGTAGATGCGGACGTCGGCTTATCGGTTTATTTCATGCTGCACTATATTTTAACATTTTAAATTTGGTACTAATCTGCCTAAAGGAACTCTTGTTAGGTATTTCGTAAGCAACCCATAAATCTGTTTGAGTATAAGTTACCTTCTGATTGAGTACAGGAAAATGGACTCAATTGTAGATATTGACAGGTTTCATAGAAGTTTGTTTTATTATATTGCCTCTGACTAATAACCTAATATGGTCTGGCGAAGAAACTCATTTTAATATTATAAGGTTTTACTGCATTAACTGCCAGTAGGTTGTTAATTTGTACAATAGACCGTGGCATATTGTTGCTGACATAACTCCGAAAATATATTTTATTTACTTGATCGTGTTGAGTTTTTGTACTCTCACTACATCGTAAGGATGAGTGCGACTATTGTACCTAATCTGTACGAAATTACTCTCTACTTAACTAGATTCATTTTTGTGAAAGGCTATTTTCGTTAAATTATGATATTATGTTTGGTTTTGCAGTTAGTTGAAATACAATTTAATTTTTCACACACGTTTTCTAAGCTTCTAAGCCTTTTATCATTTCTAGAACAAAACATTTTATAAAACACCAAAGTGACTATTTTACACCGCATGGCCTCCCTACACTAAAATACCAATAAAACAATAGCGAAAAATGTCATTAAAGCAATGGACATTAATGTATGTCTTATACACAAGGAATTAAAATATAAATATATTCATGGTTATATGGACGTCAAATATGCGGTATTAAACTTTACCGATAATCTGACGTCCACATATAGAAATATAACTAAATTCAAAAATATGGACGTCAAATATCATTCAGTATGAATGTTTTAGGATTTTCTGACGTCCATATTATTATGCGTACACAGGTAGTAATTTAAAGTCGAAATTTTGGCGTACACCGTGCCCCAAAAACCGCTACAAACGGCAATATTTATCAAAAAAGAAATAAGAAAGGTTTTCTAAGCGTTTTATCGTTTCTAGAATGGAGAATTTTATGAAACACCAAAATGACTATTTCATACCGCATGGGCTCCCTACACTAAAATAAAAATAAAACAATAGCGAAAAATGTTATTAAAGTAATGATCATTAATGTGTGTCTTATACACAAGAAATTAAAATATAAATATATTCATGGTTATAGGACGTCAAATATCGTGCGGTATGAAACTTTACCGATAATCTGACGTCCACATATAGAAATATAACAAAATTCAAAAATATGGACGTCAAATATTGATTGTTTTAGGATATTCAGACGTCCATATTAATTATTATATGTAGCTAAATCTAAGGTCACGAAAACAAATTGGAAAGTAAAATTATCTACTAGCACGGAGTAAAATATAAACCGACAAAAATACCAAAATATGCCTTGAGCACTAAATAAATAGTCAACATAAATAAATAGTAAAATGCAATTATCAACAATAACTTTGGACATCGGATATCGAAGAAGTTAGTATAAGATCCCGATATAAAACGACCTTCACCGAGATGCTTATTTAATGAAACGTATTTTATATTTAATTTAATATGTCAATAAATATAATCCATATGGGTTGCCTAGCAAATTTCAGTCCAGAGTATGTTTAATTAATAATTAAAAAAAATTTTTAAACATTTCACCGGTATGATTATTAGATAAATTTTATACCAATCGAAAGTATGAAGCCCATAGAATATGCAAACGTTAGGTTGCCTATTCTTTTCCGGTCACAACTATCGGGTTGCCAGGTATAAACAGGTAAATCTGTACTAGCATTTTGCAACGGTCTGTTTATTGAATGAAATTTAAATGAAATTAAAGATTATTTTATTCTGAACACGGTGGTATAGGGTTGCCTGCGAAAAATCAGTCCAGAATTGCGGTTGTCGAACTTTAAAAAGTAAAATATTGCTCCGAGTGAATGTGTGCGACTGAGAGGTCCCAACCGACCATCCCATGCGATAGAAGAGGGCACAGCATAGCAGCTGTTTAAAGTCCGCCCACTTAAAGAAAGAGAGTGCGCATGCTATTTGGGCTTGGAAAAGAAAAGGATAGCGATAGACTCGTATATACTATGCATCATTTTGGAGTAGTGTCGCTATAAATACAATTGAAAAAACGTGCTACTATTTATTGTTGGAAATAATGGCAAAAAAGTGTTTTTTGTGTGGATCGGATGATGAAAATGAAAGCTTTTCGTAAAAAAAAAAACACTTTAAATACAATTTTTTTGAGCTACCCAGTGCGTCTCTTCAATTTGTAGGTTATCATACCACGTGCTACAAAAAAGTGACTGTTTTGAATAAAAAATATAACGAAGAATTTCTTAATTTTAGTGCTGAATATACAGTAAGTACATAATAATTGAATCTTTAAAATTATCTTAGCTAATACATCTTCTATATTTTTTCATGTTTAAATAATTGTTAGTAAAATTCACCTATGGTTTTGTTAATTTTCGACACACATATTTTTTTGTAATTTACTCAAAAACGGTAATTTATAAATTAAACAAGAATGATCTGATTTCCTTTTTTTGTAACAATTAATGAGGATGTTTTCAATCAACTATTCTTATCAAGAAGTTTATAAAATTTATATATCAAAAATTTTCATTTAATCGCAAAATTTTTTTTAGGAGCATTCCAATGTATCTACTACTGAAGAAGAATCAAAACAGTTGAACCCTAGTGTCGATTCCTGTGCTACAGTTGCTGAAGACGAAACGAGTAATGTTGAAGGCCTGTCCCAAACTTCTGGGGACTTTGACAAGGTAATAAAATATTTTTTTAAGCTTTTTTAAAAAAATTATATGAAATCTATTAATTGAACTTGTATTTTCAATTATATTTATTTTCATCGATTTTTACTCAAAGAATGATTTAATTCTTTTAGGAGCAGTCAACATCAACAGCATCGACATAAAGCAAAATTATTTGCCTTTTTTGTGACCACAGCCAAAAGAGATGTGGGAAGAAGCTGTCAATCTTACTGTCCCTAATGATGACAAAGTACCACTACAGATAAAAAATATAGCGCAAAATTTTGGCGATTCGGTGATTCTCTCCAAACTTCAACATCAAACTATCGCGTACCATCTGCCTTGTTACGCAGTGTATCAATCGAAAAATAAGCGGTCCACGGAAGAATCTACCCATTCCAATTATAGTAAATATAGACAGTTACATCAGTTGGCCTTTCAATCCATATCGAATTTCATTGAAACAGAAATAATTGAAAACAACAAGGTTATGTATGTACTTGGCTCAATTATTTTTAAGATACCAAGCTTTATTGTTAGAGTTTGGAAATCATGAAATTGATTTCGATGATATTCAAGATTACCGATGTGAAATCTTGCAAAAAAAAATTAATGAAGAAATTCGATGATCGTATTACGATTGAAGCGTCAATGGGAATACGTAACAAAAAAATTATGTATAAAACAGACATGGACGTCTCTGTAATGGCAAACAATTTCAAACTTTTGGAGACAAGAAATGATTATGAGTTTGAAAATGTAGCATATTATTTGAGAAGCTGCATTAAAAATATAGATGCTGATCCGCTTTCTCGCAACATAATTGCTGATGATGTCATTCGTGGAGAATGTGACATTCCTAAGCAATTAATTGATTTTATACGAAATCTTATCGAAGGGCCTAATTTTTCGATCGATTTTCGAAGATTCGAACGGACTAAAAGTTAAAATAACGTCAATATGTAGTGATATTATTTATGCTGTCACTAGGGGTGCATGTAAGCCCTCAAAAAGTTTGTCCCTTGGATTGGCAGTAAAGTCTTTAACCAACTCTCGGCAAGTAATTACGATACTTAATAGGTATGGCCATACAATTGGATATAATTTGGCAGAAGAATTGGAAACCGAAATGACATATACATCGATCCAAGATAACAAAGTTATACCAAAAGGCATCACTGCAGCAAATGGACACAGCACCCACGTAGCGTTCGACAATTTCGACCGCTTCGTTGACACAACTTCTGGAAAGGACACAATGCACGACATAGTTGGAATTATTTATCAATTCTGATACTTTTGATGATGGTGAACTGATAATTTTGATGATGGTGAAGCTACAACTTCATCAGTGTCTCAAGTAAATGACAACGAAAATGGAGAAGGACCTACCCGCAAGAGAAGGCGTTTCAATGAAATATCACGAGAAATTCGGCCATATTATTCTAAACCTAAGGCAAGTATGCAGCTGATTACTGCAGATTCGTTTACCAATACAACGGAGTTATGCAAAGGTGCCACGGAAATAGCATCAGATAAAGATTTATTATGGATAATGTCGTTGTCAAGAATTGATTCCGTTCCTATGTAGTTGGGTTATAACTGTATGATATCTTTTGACCACAGTGAGAAGCAAAAAGTTGAATATTTGCCCCCATAAATTCATCACCAACGTCGTATGCGGTAGTCAATGAAACATTAAACATGGCTAAAGAAATCGCTGAAAAATGTCAGCAGCCAGAAATTATCGTGACATATGATTTAGCGATAGCAAAAATGGCAATGCAAATCCAAGAACAAGAAAAACCGCTATACAATAAAATTTTTGTTAACTTGGGAGCTTTCCACACTGAGATGGCATTTTTTAGAGCCATCGGAAAATATATTGACAGCAGTGGATTAGTGGAAATATTGGTGCAAGCAGAAGTATTAGCCGGCGGCTCCATGAATAGCTTCTTGGATAGCAAATATTTCAATCGTTGCAAGCGCTTACATCCGCTAACCGCTGCCGCATTACAAATATTACATTTTGAACAGTATTTATCCACAACTAATGTAACTCTTGAGGCGATGGATGAACTGCTGCAAACGCAAATACAGAATGCATCAAATCAGAATGCGAATGACGTCAACGAAACAATCGAGTTACCAGATTTATTGAGTCGTATTGTTAACGGTTATAAAGAATTCTGCAATCAGAAGGGAAAACTGCTCAATTTATTACCAGTACTATGAGTTTATTAATTTATACCATCGGTTTTCCGAAGTATCCGCACCAGTAACTTTGAACTGTACGTGGACTCGATTTTTAACCTGTCTGATATATTTTTTGCGTTAAACCAGCCCAATTATGCCAGATGGTCCTTGTTATATTTGAGCAATTTAATCAATTTGTATACTAATAATTCATCTTTGGTAGCTGAATTCGTCGAGGCGCCTTTGGAATTAGACGAACTGCAGCAAATTTTGCTCGATTACCGGTTGACTTGACGCTAGAGCAAACTATCAATGCTGATGCTAGCAATCAATTCGCTGATAATCTTGCTGCTGACTCAATATCTGCACGTCAAAGATGGGCGCTCAGTCACACCATGAGGACGAAGATCTACATCTATCAAACAAAATATCGGATTAACGAAAAAAGATGATACTTCGCACTCATTGCAACAAAGTAAAATTAAGAAAGATAAAAAAATTCTTAACAGTATCATTGAAGCAATAAAATATACGATGAATCCATTTGATGACACTATTGACAAAGATACATTATTCAACATTTCAACCGGCAAAGCTGCGTCTAAAGAAGTTGCTGATTTCCTGCTGAACGTGAAAATAGCAGGCTATCAACAAAAATTAAATTTTATCTCAGAATGCTCTTCAACTCCTGCAAGATTCGATAAACCAAAAAAAACGAAACAAAATCTGCAATTTTGCTTCTCAATGTATGACTAAAGTCTTGAGTACCAAAGACAAGAACAAGAAAGTATTATTGAAATGGAACGAGACGACTTTTGGCAATAAGCCTAAACAAAAAAATTAATCTCGAATTTTGCTTGACTTTTCCACTAGCACCATTGCCCCCTGCTCTTTTTTCATGTACCAGAGAGATGTTAAAAACTTCAAAATCAACGTTAGCAAAGGTTTTGAAATCCAAAACTGAAATGGTTGAGCCAACACATATCAACGTTGAAATAATAGATGGTTTTATTACTTGCATCTAATCGGATCTTCTATAGCTCAAACTTTTGATAAAATTGCTGAGGCAATACTCATAAAAATATGTTCAACAAACGCTACAGAAATACATTTGATTTTTGATCGCTACTTATCACCGTCAATCAAAGATTGCGAACGTGAGAGCAGAAAAGAATTCGATATTCCGTACAAAATTTCGGGACCTCAACAAACTAGACCAAAAAATTTTTTGCAAAGCCTTAAAAATTATCGCTTTAAAGAGGCTCTGGTGCTGTTTCTGGCTGATTATTGGGAAAATGACCATTTGGTAACAATAATCCAAAACAAAAAAATCTTTTTAACCGTCGACCATCACTGCTACTCTTATCAAGTTCAGGAAAATTCCGTAAAAAAAAAACTGAAGAAACTAATTATGAATGTCATTACGAAGAGGCAGATACAAGGATTATTTTTCATGCTTCTAAAGCGGAACCAGGCTCAAGGATTTTAATTAAAGCTTCTGATACTGACGTTTTGATAATTTTGTTAGGAAATATGCACAAACTTATCGAATCAGAAATTTGGCTTGCCTGTTCAGCAACTAGAAATACTAATAATCAAACTCTTGATTGCATTGATTGCATCGATTTAGCGTTGAAGTTGGGAATTAAATTATGCCAAAGTCTTCCCGCCTTCCATGCATTTACAGGTTGCGATTACACGGCAGCCTTTTACAACAAAGGGAAAGTAAAACCTTTTCAGCAATTTTCGAAAAATGAAAAATATCAAACAGTTTTTGCATCATTAACAGATGCTGCTGATATTTTCATTGATGAAAAAATGAAGACCGTTCAAGAATTTACGGCTAGTATGTACGGTATCAGGAACTGCACCAGTGTGAATGATGCGAGACATCGTATTTTTATGAAAAATTACTCTGCAAAAGAAGACAGCGAGCACTTTTAAAAAAAAATAAAAGGCTTCGACTCCAACTCCATACCACCATGCTGGATATCATTAACTCAGAAAATTTTACGAACTATTTTCGTAAATTCCATATGGCTTAATGCAACGGATCCAATATGCGTGAAACTTGAACCTGAGAACTGCGGATGGTTCTTAGATGAATATTTAAAACCAGTAGGATTCATTGGGGATCATACACCTTTAAAGATAGAAGACATTGTCGAAAAAAGTGAAACAGAGAGTGATGACGAAGAAGATTCAGAAGTTGAAGATCGTAGTTTTATGTCCGATGACTCGGATTCTGAATAATTTAAAAAAAAATTGTATTTTTAATTTTTTACAATAAATAGAAGTAATTTTTTTATTGTTGTTTTTTTTATTTTGTCTTCTTATAATAAAAATAAAATTTGCAAGATTACCCTGATTAAAAAAATTCACTTTTATGGGTTTTGAATTTTTTCCAATAGTTTCAATTGATTTCAATTTCTCTGTTTACATTTATAGATTTATAATTTGCATGTAGTAAATTTTTTTAATTTTTTTCAATTAATATTTTTAATCAGGGTAGTATTATATATGTATCACTATAACCTTCTTTTTTACTAAAGATGTATATATACTTTAGTGTCACATAAAAAATATACACATAAATAATTAATTGATTAAAAAAATTAAATAACTATTTCTCTATTTAAATAATAAACTACTCCAAAATGATGCATAGTATATACGAGTCTATCGCTATCCTTTTCTTTTCCAAGCCCAAATAGCATGCGCACTCTCTTTCTTTAAGTGGGCGGACTTTAAACAGCTGCTATGCTGTGTCCTCTTCTATCGCATGGGATCCGGAGAACTGACCGGTTGGGACATCTCAGTCGCACATATTCACTCGGAGCGATATTTTAGTTTTTAGAATTCGACAACCGCAATTCTGGACTGATTTTTCGCAGGCAACCCTATACCACCGTGTTCAGAATAAAATAATCTTTAATTTCATTTAAATTTCATTCAATAAACAGACCGTTGCAAAATGCTAGTACAGATTTACCTGTTTATACCTGGCAACCCGATAGTTGTGACCGGAAAAGAATAGGCAACCTAACGTTTGCATATTCTATGGGCTTCATACTTTCTATTGATATAGAATTTATCTAATAATCATACCGGTGAAATGTTTAAAAAAAATATTTTTTTTAATTATTAATAAACATACTCTGGACTGAAATTTGCTAGGCAACCCATATGGATTATATTTATTGACATATTAAATTAAATATAAAATACGTTTCATTAAATAAGCATCTCGGTGAAGGTCGTTTTATATCGGGATCTTAGACTAAGTGGACGTCAAATAAAACTTAATGTGAATATTTTAGGATATTCTTACGTCCGTATATGGGTAAATACTCCGTTCAATGTCCATGTCAAGTACATTAATCAACTTACACAAGTTTATTTACCTAAGTTATTAAATATAACCAAAGAAACTTAAATGCAAGTAAGCATAAGCTTGAAAAGTTCTCAATGTGCGTAGGTCACAATACGGACGCCAATTAGAGCACGATATGCATGTTTTTAGTAATATAGCGTCCAATATTTATAACAACAAACACAAACAAATTGTATTTCAACTAACTGCAAAACCAAACATAATATCATAATTTAACAAAAATACCCTTCACAAAAATGAATCTAGTTAAGTAGAGAGTAATTTTGTTCAGGTTAGGTAAATAGTTCGCACTCATCCTTAAGATAGTGATCATAAAAAGTGAACTCGCAGTGAGAGCACCAAAACTCAATACGATCAAGTAAATAAATTATATTTTCGGAGTTATTCATGTCAGCAACAATACGCCACGGTCTATTGTAGAAATTAACAACCCATTGGAAGTTAATGCAGTAAAACCTTATATTAAAATGAGTTTCTTCCAAAGGTCATATTAGGTTATTAGTGACAATATAAGAAAATGAATTTCTACTAAACCTGTCAATATTCTACAATTAGTACTTATTTACAATAGTAAAATAAATAATAATATAGTCAATCTATAATGTATTACGGCTGGGCAATCCTAGATATTTTTTCGTATTTAGTAAACGAATAACTAGTTGGTAAATTAATCATGATATCTATCTGTTTTTTTTTTCGCCGGAGACAAAAATGATATTGCGTATTTTTCGTACTGCACATTCTGTGGATTTATTTCATTTTGAACAATATACGAACCTTAAGTGACTAAAATTAAATCTAATCTGAACCAGAATCATAAAAACTGTATTATTCGTGCTAAAAGAATCTAATAAAGATCTGTTATTTTTGTCTCCTGCGAAAAAAACAGACTATAGGAATCTATCGAATACCTACATAAACAAAATATCACCTACTATAAATAAAATATTACAAAGCGGAATAACTAATAAGAGTGGCAACGTCGCACCATACAAAGGAATTGCGTTAAGCAGGAGAATGAATTATATTCGCAGTCATAATGTATAAAAATTGCCTACAAGTGGTGGACGCTACAATAATGCGAAATGAAAGGACGTAGAATTTATATATATATATATATATATATATATATATATATATATATATTGTAAATAATTATCTGTTGAAATCACAGAAATAGTAATAATAAGACAATAGGAATGAATTAGCGCTCGATTACTTCCAAAACCGATGTCGCCACATCTTACCGTATTATAAACATACGCAATGCACGATATCTAATGTTTCACATTACATTGCTTGGCGAATTTGCCAACGTAGAACAAAAGCGGCAATGGTACAATACGAAAAGTAATAAACGAAAGTTTAAAAAGGTAAATATCATAGTAAAGTATTCATCTAGGTGTAAATTAGTTAAAACGTTGATAATGTATATATATATAGTATAGTAAACAATCGACTTACCGAAGAAATGTTATTCCTTTATTAGTTGAATTACACGTCCTGGTGAGTTTTTACAACTTGTGTATAATGGTTCACCATTGTAAATTTGTTGCAGTGAACTGCAACAAATTTACAATGGTGAACCATTATAAATTTATAATAACATAAATTCACGTACGACGTTACCCGCGCAACTAAATCACAAAATGATGAATGATGTTAGTCAACACATCATAGCGGCGACAAGATCAGACGTCTATGCGACTTCTATTGTCTTATTATTACGATTTCTGTGGTTGAAATATACATGTTTATAAATTTCTCTCTTTTTAATGTAACATATTTATCTTATTGCTCTTCATTTCAGATACCAACTATGTGTTATCTTCATATAAAACAGAACCATGTAAAAGGCCGCCTAGATTATGTAGACAAGGGTATGCTTGCCCACAGTATCACAATAGTAAAGTGAGTCTTTCTTGAATACCGTAGAATTCAGTGCTTTAATTAAATTATAGTTCTTGCAATGTATTTATTGTTTATCTTCTTTAAAGATTAATTTTAGATGGTTAATATTACACCATAAGCAGTGCTATCCCACAGATTACTTCGGTGGGATTATTTTTGACTTCACACAACTACTTGTTGTGTGTCTTGTTATGTCTGTTAATAATTTTTTTCCTTTTCATAAATTCTAAAATTAAAAAAAAACATTAATTGTTTTCAATTTCAAAGTAATAATTATGTTTAATCTGGGGGCACGGCAGTGCCCGCCGCACTAAGCAATCGAATTTAATATAATATATATTACTTGTGAGATACATTGTGTTTTTATGCGATGGCCAAGTCAATTTATATATTTAAAACATAAAAGATTTTTAACATTGATATGGTCACTATAAAATGTTGTTAGTTTAGCTAATTACGTAATAACTTAAAACAGAAGGACCCTTAAGTAGGGATGGAAGAAATTAACCGATTTGGTATTACATGGATCTCACAACTTATTACGGTAGAAGAACTGAGTTGCGAGACTTGTTTTTTTTTACAAGTTATGTTTTTGATAGCATACTTATTTTTGAAAATAATTCTTAACTCATATTGCGTTTTTTCTAGGATAAGCGTAGATCACCAAGAAAATACAAATATCGTAGTACACCGTGTCCTAATGTTAAGCATGGGGAAGAGTGGGGTGAGCCTAGTAATTGTGAGGCGGGAGACGCCTGTGGATATTGTCATACACGTACAGAACAGCAATTCCATCCTGAAATATACAAATCAACAAAGTGTAATGATGTGCAGCAGGCTGGATACTGCCCCAGGGGATTGTTTTGCGCTTTCGCCCATGTTGAACGTAAGTCGATTCTATACTGTTTGCTTTTTTTTTTTAAAGCTTTCAGTGACAAACATGCAAGTAAGCACAGCATCAAAGACAACTGAAGACAGTCTATACATAATGTCCTTCAGAAAAAATCTAATTGCTGCAAAATTAAACAGCCAGTCCATTGAGACTAACTATCTGTGTAGAACATTATTATAATGAGTATGTATGTCAGTGTTTGCACAAGCACAAGTGCACTCTCTATTTTACTTCTTACAGTCTATTGGGATGAAATTGTAATATGGCTAGAGATCATTAATATTGATACACCTGAGTGTAGAACCAACAACTGCATGCTTTTCGAGGCATGGGAGTCGAAGTCGAAACGTCACCAACTCCCTGGCACCAGGCTGCTGCTGGGAATTCCTTAACAGAAAAACCTAATGACAGAATAAAACTACATATTTTATTCTATCATTTTTTTAATTTAATACAAGTACAATGTGATACCAATGTTTCCCTGGACCCTTATAACTTTACAAGGAACACGTCGGGAATTAAAATCAACTAAATTAAATGCGATAAAACTCTTGAAAAATAGTTATATTCAATGTGAAATAAATATAAGAAATCATTTTGCTTTATTTTTGTCTCACTTAGACACACACACACACACACACACACACACACACACACACACACACACACACACACACACACACACACACACACACACACACACACACACACACACACACACACACACACACACACACACACACACACACACACACACACACACACACACACACACACACACACACACACACACACACACACACACACACACACACACACACACACACACACACACACACACACACACACACACACACACACACACACACACACACACACACACACACACACACACACACACACACACACACACACACACACACACACACACACACACACACACACACACACACACACACACACACACACACACACACACACACACACACACACACACACACACACACACACACACACACACACACACACACACACACACACACACACACACACACACACACACACACACACACACACACACACACACACACACACACACACACACACACACACACACACACACACACACACACACACACACACACACACACACACACACACACACACACACACACACACACACACACACACACACACACACACACACACACACACACACACACACACACACACACACACACACACACACACACACACACACACACACACACACACACACACACACACACACACACACACACACACACACACACACACACACACACACACACACACACACACACACACACACACACACACACACACACACACACACACACACACACACACACACACACACACACACACACACACACACACACACACACACACACACACACACACACACACACACACACACACACACACACACACACACACACACACACACACACACACACACACACACACACACACACACACACACACACACACACACACACACACACACACACACACACACACACACACACACACACACACACACACACACACACACACACACACACACACACACACACACACACACACACACACACACACACACACACACACACACACACACACACACACACACACACACACACACACACACACACACACACACACACACACACACACACACACACACACACACACACACACACACACACACACACACACACACACACACACACACACACACACACACACACACACACACACACACACACACACACACACACACACACACACACACACACACACACACACACACACACACACACACACACACACACACACACACACACACACACACACACACACACACACACACACACACACACACACACACACACACACACACACACACACACACACACACACACACACACACACACACACACACACACACACACACAGGAATGGTCTGTTCCCCACATTACTAATCTTCAACTCAATATGGGTGACCTATAAACACTGAAAAAAAAAACTCCACCATAGTGTAGTTTTCTGCAGACCACAAAGGCCATGATTGTGTTGGATAATGTGCTCATAATTAACCATAAGTAAACATGACTGAAGAGAATCCATCACTCAATAATGTCCCGTGGGTGTTGTGAGAGGTGGCTATGGGAAGTGCTAGAAAAATATTGTGGCTTACGATAGATGTCGGTAAATGAGATGGTTATATCTCATTAACATCAGACAATGATGGATGGATGAAGGAATGAGGATATCCGCAGTAGAACAAGAGTGACCGACAAAGCTCAACGGATTTATAGGCTGAAGTGGCAATGGGCCAGTCATATAGCTCGAAGAACCGACAACCGATGGGGAGAAAAGGTTCTCGAGTGGCAGCCTCGTACTGGCAGGCGAAGTGTATGGCGTCCCCCTACACCCTAGATGGAGTGACAACCTGATAAAACGTGCAGAAAGTTGATGGATGCAGGTGGCTCAGGACCATGTTTTGTGGCATCGTTGGGGGAGGCCTATGTTCAGCAGTGGACTTGTGAAGGGCTGCAATGATGATGAACATCAGACAATAACATCCAGAGTGTTTTATTAAATAAGTAATATGTAAGATACAATAGCAGCCTTAATGGTGTGAGGCATTTAACACTGTGTTTATCAATCCATCTGCTAAGTGTGACGATTCAAGGCAAATCCTTACTACAATACAAATAAAAGAATTAAAATGGCAGAGGCCCATGTGCAGCAGTTGACTTAAGGAAATACGATGCAATCAAAAACTTTGAATAGTGTCTATTTTTGACACATAGATTGGTCTTTTACGTGGCATTCCGTTTCAAATCTGGATTTTTATATTACCCCTTAGGACTCATGATTACTTACACATAGTGGTAGAGCCAGCTTTAGATTGTGTGATATACAATCTACTACTAATTCTGGCGATATATAACAGTGTCAAAGGTGCGAGACATTCGGTATTGCGATCGCATTTCTGCTGATCCTGCTGAACGTGGTGATTGCGACAAATCTTCCCAAATACGGAGACCTAAGTACATTTCATTATACAGAAAAAGAAATACAAGATGCTTTATACTGTTGTAACATCTTGAACTCAGTGATGATGAATGTTAGTTTTTACATAAATCCTTGGTTTCCTGTAGCGGAAGACTTGAGCAATAGTCGCGATCTGAGCGCGCCGCTGGAGTGCGGCACCAACCTGGCGGAGCTGCTGTCGTCGGCGCTGCCCGACAAGCGCGCGTCGCCGCCGCCGCCGCACGCCAACGGCGACGAGTGCGCTTCCACCTCCAGCGGCGGCTCCACCGCGCCGCGCCCGCACTTCGACGATAAGTTCTCATGGCACCCGAGGAACACGTTCGACGCCACCGTGCTGCAGGAGGTCGTCGGCAACGCCCTCGACGACCTCCACCTCGACGACCCTCTCAACCTCGTCGCCTCGCTTGATCGTGACCTCTCCGACAGCGAGGGCCTCCTCGGCGGCTCCGCCCCCGTGAACATCCCCCGGCCGGCGCTTCGCGGTTTCAGCCCGCCTCCGGGCGGATCCCCACTCCCGCCGTTCCTACGCTACGCACCTAATGAACCGGAACGTCTGTTCAATTCGCATATCAAAGCTGGCAGCTTCGGCGCCGCCGGAGGGGGACCCTTTGAGTTTGCATCCGCCTCGCCCTCGGCCCCGACTGAGTTGTCTCGTCTACGTGAGGAGGTGGTCGCTTCGAGAGCGGCCGCCGCGCGTTGGGACGAACGCATCGCTCAAGCTCGTTCCGCGTGCGAAGCTTGGCAGCGCGAGTCCGACGAAGCTCAGCGCAAGACGGCGCTAGCTGAGCGACAACGGGATGAAGCGCTCTCTCACGTGATAACCCTTCGACGCGAATTGGAAGCGGCGCGTGCGAGCACCAATCGACGAGAACTACGCGGTCTGCCGCTGACGACACTCAAAGCCATGCAGGTGCAAGCGAGAGCTGAACTCGAAGAGATCGAGAAGGTTCTGTATCTGGAGACTGCGACTAAGTGTATGGTGTGCGAGGAGCAACCTCGGAGTGTGACTCTCGCTCCATGCAATCATTATGTCTTATGCGAAAGCTGTGCCGCTACGGCTAAAGAGTGTCCCTACTGCCAGACGCCAGTCCAACACCATCAGTAACGAAATGGTGATACTAAGTGTGCTGGCAAATGCTTTGCATGATGTTTAGTGTTGGTTCGCTGCTGTAGTTGTTTGTTTGAACTGCAAGAAGTCAATTGCGTTATTGTAAACAGTTGTTTTTAAAGTGGTGTTAGTGTAAAATTTAAATTTCGTATTTGAACACAGTTAAACGCAAGTGGTTTCTAGCAGCGGTAGGTATGTATTTATTAAGCTCCTTTTTATAGTCGCTCTCTACTCATATCTTGTCTCAAAAACATAATGCATAAATATCCTCGTCTTTTGATCTGCCTTTATTTAAAAAAATGGATACATTCTCATTAATATTTTTATATATGGGTAGAGTTGATTCAGGTAAGATATATCATTTGATAATTATTATAGGATATTTAATTTAAGCATAAAGAGCAAGACTTATTCTGATAAATTTATTGAAAGGAATAATATAATAAAAGAAGGAGCATGTTGAATTAGGATTTTTCAAATTTACCAATGCAGTTATTTAATTAAAGGCTATGTGTAGGATATTCAGCAATATTGTGAAACAAAAAAAAACTTCGGAATATTATGCCACTTACATAGAAACTGAATAAAAATTTGTATAAAGTATTATGAGGTGTTTGTTCAGTGTTCTAATACAAAAACAGATTCGTATTTTCAAACGCTATACAGGATTACTGGGAACCCGACAACTTCCTGGCATCGCATGATCGGGGAGTCAAAATGCTACTAATTTAACCCCCCCCCCCCCCCCCCATATGAAAATGAACAGGTCTTGAAATATACTGATTTTAAAGATTTTTCAATTACATCCAGAATTTTTAGAGTTTTATCATTACAAAGGAATTGTCCTTTTTAAATGTAGCACATTCTTTCTCGGTTGAAGTTCAGCAGTAAGTGAGCGAGAATGTAAACTTCCTTGCCCATGATTATGATTAGGTTATGAATGTATTCGCTTCATTGAAGCTTCAAGGAAATAAAAAAAACTTAAAAGAATGCATACAAAAAAATGTTTCATTTTTATTTAGAATTTAATACGAAATCATGGGTAATTACATAATGATATCTCATATTTACGCGAACACTACACATTGATTAAAACTACTTTTACGGATTTTATCGCGTTTAATTTACTTTTAATTATTTTTAATTCCCGACGTTTCGGGTGCTTTCCAGCACCCATGGTCACGGGGGATTGAGGTGACTGACGTCCCGATGTCATTGTTAAGCTCTGAGTACCTTCAGCTTTTTTAATTATTGTTTATGGTCCAATCTATGCAAAATGAACTGACTATGTCTTGAGGTCTTGCAGTGGTATGCTTGGGTTTAGTTTTAATTTTGTTGATTATAGGGTCCCAAGCAGGTGGTAGTACCCAGCCTCCTTCTCTATTGAAATTAGGATGTTTTTTAATTTCAAAAGCCTCACGTATATCATCCTTGGTAGGAATCGGTGTTCTTTCGCGAGGATTTGTGGTCTATCAAATCTGATGTAATGGTTGGGGCCGTCTAGGAAATGATCACAAGCTGTAGACTTCCCGGAACGTTGATGCTTCACATCAGCTATATGCTCAACATCAACGTAGCCTTAACGTTCCGGGAAGTCTGCAGTTTGTGATCATATCCTAGACGGCCCCAACCATTACATCAGATTTGATAGACCACAAATCCTCGCGAAAGAACACCGATTCCTACCAAGAATGATATGTGAGGCTATTGAAATTAAAAAACATCCTAATTTCAATAGAGAAGGAGGCTGGGTACTACCACCTGCTTGGGACCCTATAATCAACAAAATTAAAACTAAACCCAAGCATACCACTGCAAGACCTCAAGACATAGTCAGTTCATTTTGCATAGATCGGACCATAAACAATAAATAAAAAGCTGAAGGTACTCTGAGTTTAACAATGACATCGGGATGTCAGTCACCTCAGTCCCGCGTGACCATGGGTGCTGAAAAGCACCCGAAACGTCGGGAATTAAAAATAAAAATAATTAAAAGTAAATTAAATGCGATTAAATCCGTATATCTCAAGACCTGTTCATTTTCGGCCATACATATGGGGGTCATATTTGTAGCATTTTACTCACCTATCACACCCTGCCTGAAAATTGTCGAGTTCCCAGTAACCCTATATAACTACAGTTACATTATTGAATTACAACCATTAACGCTTCAATATTATTGTCTCAATAATATTTGAAAAAATAATTGTCTCGTAATTGAACATTTTTACACCAAAGTTGTATCTAAGACAAATACTTTCTTATTTTAAATACTTTTTTATATATCTCTATTCTAATATGTAGTGAATATTGTTCATAAATCAAATATTCTATATTTAGTGCATGGTTTCACTGAGTAGTGGTTTATGATGTAATATTATGCTTTGAATGTTAACAATATTTTTTAAATCATACATTTATGTATTAGAGCCCGTTCCCATTTGTCGGGTGCTGGGCCCGATAGAAAATCGGCTGCTCTAGTAACAAAACATTTTATTTGAAGCTGTTCACATTTATCCGACTCTTAACATATTTTTGTTGACAAGAAATGTCGGGTGTTTTGCCAGTTCTTTACATACGTTGAATCTCGTTCGCCTATGAGTAAGTATGGTGCTGTTCACATTATGTCGGATGTCGGGATCGACAACCCTCTATATATCGGCACGCACGAAGAGTTGTTGCGTTTTTATCGTATCCTACGCGTTGTAGGCAAGTTCGGTGTTTCATAATAATGGAAATAGATAATATAAATCCTGAAGATTTGATCACACTAGTTCAGGAAAGAGGTGTTTTTTGGGGCAAAACGTTTTCTTTTCTTGTTTTTTTTTCTAAAATAATTCATCACAACAAAAGCTTCGTCGACGTCCATCGTGTATACTTGTAGTAGGCTCACATAGTCTGCCAAGCTTCAATCGGGTCCGACAACCGACTAGTATGAACAGAGCCGCCGACACCCGATTAAAATACGGCGTCCGACACCCGACAACTGGGAACTAGGTAATTTGGAGGACATATTGCTTTGTCTGGTAAAATAAACAGACTTGTAGTTTTTTATGACATCTTTACTCGAAATTTAACACTTATGGCAATGCTTTTATCAGTCAATTTCCAACAAACATAAACGACATGATTTTTTATCGCTTTAATGCTAAAGTAACAGATTGATTAAAGCATTGTGATTAAACTTAGAGACACAAATTATATTTAACAATTATAAGAGTAAGTTTTTAGTTTTCTAACTAAGCAGATTTTGCCTTTTATACTTCATACTACACTGTTTGAGATTGTTGATTTCATTTAAAACATGGTGTAATAATAAATTTTGTGGAGAGAATTTAATACAATTTTTATATGCAGTAACATTTTGCAGTCTTTATATCGGTGTACATATATGAGAGAGTTGTTAATTGTTATTTTTTTTTACCATTTCTTATAAACGAAACTTTTAAGTGTGACTGTCAGTTTAGTCAATTGTTTTCCAAGCACAATTGTTTTTGCTTGCAGTTAGCGAACTAAGGACCAATATCAAAACGAATTTTATACAGTGCGATGCTATAGATTTTGTGAAATGTATGTTTTTCCGATGTTGCAATTTTTTAGTATCAAATGTGTACTATTTATTAGATTTTAGAGCATTTTGTGTGTACATTCCCATTGTTTTTAGAAGGGCTTATTTTTATTTAAACTCTGTGAAGGTGACACATTATTTTGATTGCAAGAGTCAAACTTTTACTACCTTTGTTTTTAATTTTTTGACTGCATTACAAGATATGTACACATATATTTTTCTCTTAGCAAAGACTACCGTTTTGGTCAATATATTTGTAGCATTTACTAACTTTAATAATGTTCAAATTCTGTGCATTAAAATTGTTCTAGCATACTATATGAGATTGTTTTATAAGCTCTATTTTTAATTTTAATACAATAACCTATTTATATATTTTAAAAAAATCAAATCTTTTGTATCTGCATATTATATTAGTAATAACAAAATTAACTTAGATGTAAGTAGCGTTTTCAAATTGTAATGGACATTATATTTTAAGTGCGTAGTTGCAGCGTCGTGTATTTGTAATAGGAAGCAATATGACTACATCCGCCTTTAATTGTAATAGTTTTTCTAATTGAATTCATTATACAGAAACCACAGCCTTGAGGAACAAATGTCCTGTGTGGTCTATATTTAATAAAATCTTTATTGAACCAATCTTGAATACTATCATCAGATTAGAATATGTTGCCCTTAAATGTCATATAATATATACCACAATGTCGACACAGCGCATTTTGTGTCGTATTCACAGTTTTAACGAACTTAACAAGTTTGACAATAGCTGCTTATATCTATAAATTATAAAATGTCATCACCTGATTATATAATCAGGCAGATCATGGTGTGTCTGTAGATTCTGAGATGGCCACATTTTGTGACGTATCTACAACTTTTAAAGTTGCCTCTCATCCATCGCCACACTAATCGTCAAACAATTAACATCTTACGATTTAACTGAGGTGTTTCATAAAATGCTACCTTTTCACAATCTAGAATTTAAAATTAATCAGAGAGAGCCGCGTTTAAAATAAAAATTATGTATCTTACCGTGTTTCCCTCGCAATTGCATGCACTATCACTGCCGCCACAAATCGCAACACCATTACACTAGGAAAGGCATACCACCGTCATTATAACACGAGAGATAAATTGACTTTGCGATAGGCTGATCGCAAAATCTATTTCTCCTGGTGATGCCTCGTGTAGTGACAAAATACGATTCGTATTGTCAACGGTAGTGTGTCTCCTAGTGTAGGAGTGGGCGGTTATAGTACACGGAATTGAGGGAGACATGAGGTGCTCTTCAAGCTAGGTAAGATGTAATCGATTCGAAGCTGACAATTATTTCATAATCTACTGAGTCACACCGGATATGACATAGTAGATAAGCAATATAGTTCGTTTTTTGGAACAGCTACTGTCTCTTTTCGGTCTGTAAATT